ACCGAAGCGTTACGTACCAATCCCTGTAAAAGAGAACGTCTCACTTGAGAAATCAGTAAATTTTTTTTATTTACAATTTCGTTAAAAACTAATAAAAAGTACAATATAAGATTTTTTATTAATTTCAATTCAGAATTATATATAATGAAGAATTTCTCTCTTTTTGAACCTAGAGAATTAAATTATACCTAAAATTAATCTTAAATTAGAAATTAGTTTTATATATGCCTGTTTCAATGTAGATTGACTTTAATGATTCAACTTACTCTTCGTCTTTTTCTAATTAGAACTACAAAAAATTGAAGAGTTAGTTGAAATGAAATTAAATTACATTGCTAAAAACGGGCATTAAAGTTAGATTTATTAAGCCAGTTAGATTTTATTTATAATCTGAAATTTGAATATTATATTAATGTGTATGGATATTTACGTACCGCAAATTTGCTCGTGTCCTGAGAAAGCCTCATGATATTCTTGTACCCGTAAGGCGCCGCGCAACCGTCACACGGTTCGATAAGACTGAGAGATTTAAAAAATGAGTAACAGTACATTGGACAACATGGTATACTTCAATTTATCTCGAGACTTACGATTTCGGCACTGTATTGACGTATGGCATCACAACTTTATCGACAAAGCTACCGAAACCCAGACGAAAATTACTCGTAATCTTGCTCATACTCTCGACCAATAACTGGCCCAAGTCAGACAGTTTTTTCTTGTCATCCTCCATGGATTTACTCAGATCCATAAGATAATAGAGATCGACAGGATAATCCTCTGCTTGGGAATAAGCGAAGGACATTCTGTAAGCTTCATCTGAAACAAATTAACGTATCGAGTCGATAGAATAAAATATACAAAATTTTAGTTTTATTTTCACATAATAATATAACAATAATTTACTTATTCTGAGCTTCAGATTAACTTCTTGCGGCCACATTTGTACAGCTTCTTGTCTTCTGCTCCCGCTACCGCCCCAACTTTCCTTATGAGAATGAGAAGAAGACGAACTAGAAGACGAAAAGTTGGAGTACGAACTCTCGATGCTACCGTATCCTCCTCCTCCTCCTCCACCAGTGGCGTAACCACCCTTTGTCAAGTTTCGATGTCGCAGCATGCTGAAGACGTTGTCTGGGTTCCATGTATACTCAGGAGGACACGTCGCAAATATTTTAGTATTGATATTCGGTAGGAAGCACCTCTTCTCTGAGAATTTCTACAAAAGTGACGTCAATTTAGAATCTATATCAATAAAATATTAAACTACAAATTTACTCATCTTTCTGTTAGTGAAAGAGCTACATGATTATAAAGAGAAGATAATAATAAACTAAGGTATAATAGACTTTCTGATTGAATCAATATGGACTTACTGGTGCCGCGCACCAAGCACAGTGTGGAGTCTGTATGCATTCATGACATGTCTGTTTACTGATACATGGATTCATGCCGGTCAATCTCTCTGGAGGAGGAGGATAGTTTGCTTGAGCAAACAAGGCCGATAGGCTCGTTGCTAGCACCCCCAACACGAGGATCCATCTTGAGCTGCCGAACATTCTGTAAAATCGCAGGTAAACCACTATCAATCCTTTGATTTAACAAGAAATTCACATAGATAAATATTTCAGAAATAACAGGATATGAAAATTAAAAAAGAGTAATTAATGGCATTAAAGTAGCAGCAAATTTAGCCACTAGTACCTCCAACATAAAGACCAAGCTTGAACTACTGAATATTCTACAAAATCATAGGTATATAATATACATACTAGTGTATCCAACAAAATTTGTTATGAGGGATCTGTGTCAAAAAGAGTTTTAAACAGGCTGATGGAGTAATACAATTCAAACATAATATTGTTCCTTAGATAACACATGATATTCTGAAGATATTTTGAGAAAAATATTACATATACTCAGGACGTTCCCTACTTCCATTCATTTCTTGCCCGAGAGCAAAAATCAAAGTATCCTCAAAACTTCAAAACATCCTTAGAATATCAAGGGCTACCTCGCTACTTGTATTATGAAGTTCATTAACAGTTATAAAAATGTTTAATCATTAAAATTTAATTATGGTACTAATTTTTTTAAATATTCCACTCTTTTTCATTGAGGACTTGGTCACCTTAGATTACATACGATTTCGCTTCCATTTCCAGGAAACCGTCTCGATGCGAAACGGACGGATCGCGATCGAATCTAACGACTGCCTAGTCGTGCACGACGTGCATCCTCCGCTGCTTATTCATACGACGAGGATGCCGTCATCTTTATATTTGCCAAGCATCATCACTCCGATGTCTACTCGCGCGTGCGACCGAAGCGGACGATAAGCGGCGGAGTTCGTGTCGTAAGCAGTGAAGAGAGGCAAAGAGGAAACGTGCTTACTTGTTTCCGTGAGACGGAGTGTCTTTCCTCCTTCCTTTTTTTTTTCTCCTCCGTGTTGTTCTACAGCATCACAGACGTGATGTTTGGTTTGATGTTTCCCTCGTCGTCACTCGAGATCACCATAAATGGCAATCCACCAAACGAACGCACCAACGCGCACGCAACACTCCGTAGGGAGTGTTCACTTCTCTCGTTTCTCGCGTCGGGTCGCGCGTCGCGCTATACGTCCGTTCCGTTGCGAGCGCGGCTAAGTTCACGCGGCGACGCGGATTGGTCTGTCGCCCGCCGCGCAATTAGCTGCATTCAGTTTATTGCAAACGCGCTTTAAAGTTTTCTAAAGAGTAAATAATAATATACAGGGAATGGAAGTAACTCGTTACTTGTAACGAAGTTACAGTTACAAGTTACTTTTTTGGTAACTTTACTGGTAACTGCGTTACTTTCTTTTTTTGGTAACTGTAACGGTAACGAGTTACATTTTTTGGGTAACGGTAACGAAATTTACAGTTACTTTTGTCGTTACTTTGCACACGATTGAACACGGTTCGATTGGATACATGCTATTTACAGCGCTTATCAATAAGACTTGAAAGCCCTTAGACATTCGGCCGTATGATTCAGTAATTATTTTACACTTCTATCTTCTATGTAATACATAGGACATACAAATATTTCAGTTTGCTGCATATTTTACAGGTTTTAGAATTACAAAATTGTGTTTAAAAAAAATTAAAAAATAAATTAAATAATAGTAAAATGAGAATGGCTACGAACCCAAAAGCGAAACAGTTTAAAAGACGATGACAATAAGTGTGGAAACGTCGTTTGTTTTTATCTTGTTTTATCCATGTTGTTGTTCTAATATATATTTATACATTTAATTACATTGTCATCGTCGTTCTTATCGGAAATAAACTGTTTCATTTTTGGCTCGTAACCCTTCTCATTTTACTTTTATTTAATTTATTATTTGAGCCATTCTACATTGTTTTTTTTTTTTAATAAAACTATATATATATTTGTCAGTATTACATATAAAAAAAAATGCAAAAGTACATTTTTAAATTGATTTTAAAAAAGTAACGGAAAAGTAACGAAAAGTTATTTTTCAAGTAACGGTAACTGTAACGAGTTACTTTTAAAAAGCGATAACTGTAACTGTAACTAATTACATTTTTTACTCGGTAACGAGTAACTGTAACTAGTTACTTTTAAAAAGTAACTTTCCATTCCCTGATAATATATAATGTACTTTTCTGATAAAATTGCATATTTTTGAGATATTCGTTAAGAATAAAATTAAATACGATATTTCCAAAAATATGCAATTTTACCAGAAAAGTATATTTTATGGTATTGATGGAGACGTACAAATTGTGACGTTTCTATTATGCTGTATAACTCATTTTCGAAATATTTATCTGTTACAATTAAAATGAATGGTTCTGTATATGAATTATAAATTACAAATTTCTCTAATTGTTTAATAATTTGTTTAATAAAAATTAATAATTTCCAGGATTTGTGCTTGCATATACAATATTAAATTTTAATTGTTCATATTTTTTAATCGAACTAAATTTGACCCCATAGTAGCGTACGTCACACGGCATCAGAGTGAAGTTAGCGCCATTTTCAAATCAGTGGATCAGTAAAAATCGTCGCGAAAACGGGCCGGTTGAGCTCCGGATCGAACAGCGATGCGTTCCGATGCTATTAATCAGTAAGTATTATGTATAATTAGTCATACAGATGAGATTTATTAATCGTGTGATACAAATTAGGGATTGGAGCATCGGCGATCTGTCAAGATGCATCTCGCGAGATTTATTCCATCGAGCGAGAGGAGAACGGGAGAAGGTCGCGACGGTTATTTCGCGGTGTTTCCACGGAGCTGTCCTCGCTTTTACTTCATTCATTCCTGTTGCATCGATAACGTTTTGAGATGATAAATGTTTTGAAAGATGCGTCATCACTACACAACCCTGACAACACGCACGTATAATCAATGATGTGACGTATTGGTGAGTATATAAAATTATCTTGCATTTTAATTAGTCCTTTAGAGACGATCAGATTTTTTAAAAAATTGTATGGACAATTTATAAATAGTGCACAATATTTACAAAATAATTTCAAAAAATATATATTTATAAAACTTATTATTTTAAACATTTTGTAAATATCTTTGTGTTCTTAGATTGTACAGATCATAAACATTTATTATAAATATTATGAAATATTTATTGTAAATATTGTAGTAAATATGTGTTATAAAAATATTCAATAAGACATGTAATTATAATCCAAGTAAAAAATACTTATTAGGAGTATTTTTTATACTTATCATTAATATTACATAAAATATTTATGTAATATTAAAAAATAAATAATAATAAATATTTATATATATATATATATTATGAATATTCTGTGCTGCCTGAATTTGTATCATGTAAGATTTTTAATTAGATTAGTATGTGTTTGTATGTGTGGACACAGTGTGACCACTACAAGACATTGGTAAACAATAAACAGTCCGCGCGAGGCCGGTATCTTCGGTGTAAAGGCGCGTTCACGTTTATATCAGTCTGTGTCGTAACGATTCGTAACCTTCTTGTGCCACAGTGTGAATATGCGTAAAATAGAATAACTCGTAAAATCGTCCTGTTGGTGAAGAAACTAAATTTTATTTCGGTGAGTGTTCATCACTTGTCATTCACAAATTTTGATGGACAGCTGGGATTGCAGACAGGGATATTCGAGGCAAACAGCGCAGTGCGTGAACCCTTCAGTCAAAGAGGTTATTTTGCCTAACTAGGGAGAAACATCTACCTTAGGTTTCCTGCATTTAGTATTCTAGTTTCTTCATTGTGATAATTTCTAATATATGACAGATGTTAGATTGCAAATTTTTTTACATATATTAGGATTAATTGTACATGCAGACCTGTACTTTATATATATATTAAAAATTTTTATCAAAATTTTAAAATAAAACGTTTCAGTTAGAGTGAGAATTCGATTTTTAAAAACTTGCCTTAATTATTAAATATGATTCCATTCCACATTTAAGGAAATATACTGGAGCGACGATTAAATTTGATAAAAAGTGTCGATAAAAATAATTTTTTAATTCTAAATAAAATATTATGTATATCAAGAAAACATTAAGTAAAACGTTATACGTACATTTCTTGCTTTACTATATCACATAAATGCGATATATGTTATGTATGTACATTCAAATCGTACTTTTTTGTCATTTCTCTTGTAAGCTTTAAAATCATAATTTAAGAGTCTCATGGTATTCTTTTATTCAAATATAGGAAAGTACTTTTTGTTTGGATATACTTGAATTTATATATACGAGTATATAAGAATAATCTACGCAATAATAGAAAACTGTAATTTACAATTTTTTTGAAATTTTCATACAAGTTTGTACTTTTCCAAAGCTATTTGTGTTTTTTTCTTTTAGGAAGGATTTTTTATTCTGTATAAGGAAAATAAATTGATAAGGAAAAATACGAAATGAACGTTCGTTTCGTCGGTAACTCCAACATTTCCTTAAATTTTGTTAATAAATTAATTTGCATAATTATAATTCAGCCAAGCGTTTGTATATGATATTATTTTTAATATATTATTATTTGTTTTATATCTAGATTACAATTATTCTAGATTGTTTAAAAATATTATTTTATAAATTACTGTTTTATATTATTATTTTGTATTATTTTACATTGATTTATATTATTATATTGTTCTGTACTATATAATTATTAAATTTGAAAATCTCAGTGGCTTTGTTGATAATTTTTTTCAGAACTTTTCATAATTTATGAATATAATTAAAAATTTTTTTTCAATTCTCAGATTTTTTATACAAATAGGAACATTTTTCAGAAAAGTTGAGAAAATTTACACATCTCTCACGGAATTCATATATAAGAAAAATTCTAAGAAAAGGTGTAGACTTTTTCAGTATTTTTTAAAAGTAGAAATTACGGGAGCGACAGGCAATAATCAATAAAGACGCGAAATTATGATTATTTGCGTTGATATGATAGCTATATTTATCAAATCGTGTACTTACCTCTTCCTTTCGTTTTGCTTCCCATCTTTATGATAGATGGCGCAACGATGCGGTTTCCGATTTGTTTTCTTGTGCGCTCGTTCACATTTCTTCAGTTCTCAATTTTTGCAGAGATTCTTTAGATACTAATGTTTTTCATACGTTATTCTTAGAAATGCCAATTTTATCTACTGTCGTCGCAAAATTCGCGATCGTTAAAAACAAATTGCAGTTTCGATCTCTAAAGCAATCACTTTCATTGTAAAACATTTATTGTTATAAATGATAAATTCTAATTCTTCTCGATCGCTTTCTACAAAAATTTGTTTCAAACAAGCAGCCTCTTGTTCAACACTGAAATATGTTATTTAAACTCTTCGCGTGATGATATTATGTTATTTTTTAAATAAATATATTACAAGGACAAATATTTAAAAAAAAAAAATGGATTTTGTATAACATATATAATGAGAAGCCAGATGCAATATTGCATATTATGATTGCTGAATGTATTTTGGTAGAGTCGAATTAATATAATTGTAATTCTATAAATAAATATTTTTAATATTAAATTTTATATAATTCCAATTAATTACCATATAAATATAAGTATTAAAATAAAAGATTATTAAAGTATTGAATAATGTATAATTAAAACTATAAATTCCTTTATTATGCAATTATAAATCTTATTTTTATATTATAATAAACATAGGAAAATAAATATAATGAATAAGCTTTATTAAAAAAACAAAAAATAATATATTAAATAGATTATTATATTTAAATGTCAATTTAAAATCTTCATTAATATTAGCATTTTGTGTCGCTCCTGTGCAGTTAAATCGTTGCCTTCTTTACTCAAGCATTAAAAATAATTTAACTTAAGTTAATCAATTTCTATATTCTGTTGGTATTATCTTCATCGAAATATGTAGAACGCGTCAATAATTTGGCTCTCAATTAAAAATTGGAACCAATTTTTGGTTGGTCTCGAATATCGCCATTACTTTGAATAACTATGCTCTTCCACCAGAATGTTACACCTAATATTTTTACATCATAGGATCATTTGGACGCATATAAATAAAAATGAGATAAATAAACGAGGGGACTTCTGATGATACAGTTTATTATCGTTAGCATTGTTTGAGGTACCATACATGCGCCGATTCGCGCGTCATATCGGGACGTTTCCTTTTTCTACTTTTTTTTTCATTATTTTTTTTCTCGTTCAAGTCCCGGTTCAAATTTAATTAACGAAACGAACCTGGAAAGGTACGTTTAGTTGACAAATACAATAAAGGTGAGAGTAAAAGGAAGCATCGATAGATTACGAATTAAGCGCAAGAGTATTAATTTACAGATAGGAGGGGAGGGATATAATACCACAAAGCTCTACGAAATAATTGTTAGTTAAATAAATAAAGAAGCGATTGCGTTTCTCTCGAAGAAACGGTCGGACTTCAGCGATTCATAAATAACGAAGGAATGCGGGTGCCCTCCTTCATCACCTCCTCCATCGGTTATCCTCGCGAAATGTACTCGAAATGCATCGGCGATTTCAAGTGATGGCGAGTTACCGGCAAATTGTATTGATTGATTATATCGCGTAGAACACTACTTCAAAAACACCAACTAACAGAAACGTCTGCTAGTTATATTTTCCTATTTAATAATATAACATACATTATTTTACCCCAAAAAATCCAGGCTGTTTTATTTTTTAGGCAAAAAATTCGAAATTTGTGGATTTTTGGGGGGGTTTTATTGGAGTTGTGTATTGAAGATTATAATCGAACACCAAACTTTCTTTTAAGAAAAATTTGTTTAAGAGTTAATTTTAAGTATTATCCAAATAAATGTTAATATAGTTTATAATATAAGTAATATCATAATTTCTCTTTCTTTATTTTCACTATAGAAGTGTTTTTTTATATTTGAAAAATTTTATCATTATATTTTCACAAAATTTTTTTATAATTGATTTTATTTGATACGTAATTAAATAATGATAAATGCAACATGTGTAAACTAAATATTACGTGAAAAATATCAAATAATGAATTTTAATTAATTCAAAAATTTTCAATGCCCATTCCCTAAAATTTTTAAAGTGAATTTCACTCTGAAGAGTAAAATCTCTACGATTATATTATTAACGAACAAATTTTAAATAAATCACTTCTTGTGTCTGATGATGTTTCGAGAATGGATTCGGCACGCGCGTTCCTTCGGCTTAACTCAACTAGGAATAGTAATAATAATTAGCGATAGTAGTAGTAATAACAATGGTAATAATAAATATATAGACGAGGCCGAGTCAATAGTTTTCGTATTCTAACTTGGATCGCGCGCGATCGAGATCGTCTTTCAGTCGCCTATTCGTGTCGATAAATTTCCGTTTTAAACGCGATATATTTCGTCCCTCTATTATACATACTTTCTTCACGAAATCTTCGCGCGTAGTCCGTTAGTGTTAAATAATTTCTTTTTACGTCGCAAGAGCGTCCGCGCGACACAAGCGAGGAGGAGAGCTTTTTTTTGAAATTCAGCTTTCGATCTTCTTTTGCTATTCTTTTTTTCTTTCTTTTGACAGTGTATCTTTTATTACTGCTTTATTATCCGATCTATCAAGCACGACCGAGAAAATGGTTCGATTGGTGTCGATTAAATAATTGGCGCACAGCTGGTCAAGTTCTTCCACTTCTTTTCTCTTTTCTCTCATTGATTGATATATGTAACATATAATCGTCCAGCATAGCAGAAATCTTGCACATTATTCTCTTTCATTGGTTTTTTCCAATAGCGCGACGAATGTCACGTTTGGTCAATCGAAAGACATCATTGAATAATTTTTCCTCAGAAATTTATTTGTGAAATTGATTGTAAAAATATATATATTATAAAATTTCTGCTAAATAATAAAATCTATCACTCTAAATCTATCTCTAATTTTGTTTGGGAAAGAAGTTTAGGGAAGAAAGTTTGGGACTAATGGTAACGTATCCATAACGTTATTAGAGGAACGTTTCAATATTCGATAAATACACAGACCATTTATTTTCGGCACAAATCGTATTTATTTTCATATCATAAATTTTCTAATTTTTTTGTTACAACAATATATACTATCGCCGAAAATAATAATTGCTTATTTAATCGCCCAATTATTCAATTGACACCATTTTTTCAAACGGTTGATATAATTTTGCAAAAAAAGAGAAGTTATCTAATCACTCTCTCTCTCGTGTTTTACCATCAATGAGGTACTTTTAAGTAAGATTTCAATTTTCGTATCAATCAATTTAATCGAGTATTTATGTAAAACTTGAGCAACGATTTTGTATTTTTTCTTGTAAAGTGAAATATATAACGAGATTTTCTTTTCGTAAAATTTTTTATCGTTAAATCGAGATACATATTCTCAAATCGAGTTATTAGTTCAAATTTCAGTTGTGACTGTTCTAAAATTTAGTGATTCCAAAGTTTACGTATGATTTTCTTTGGCTTTTTGTTCTTAAATTCGTCAGGTATTCTATGCCTCGAAATAAAATCAACAGTTAATAAATCACACTTGTTTGCTTTTTTTCCCCTATATATCTCTCGTAGTCTTGTT